GTGCCTATGATAATCACAAATGCCACACAATTCAGCTCAAATTGTTTCCTTGTAGTCAATCTTCTTCTCTATTGTTGGCGGAAATGACCTATGTGTACCTTGATGAGGATTACAGGGTTCATACAGGTACTGCTCACAGCCTTCTTATCTGATAATCTATAACATTATCTATTTGGCATCTTTCAAATTTGAAATACTTGAATGCTTCTTTATGATTCAGACCAATCAGGGTTAACACTATAATAATAGTGCCATACATGTACGGACAGCTTCTACCCACCATTTCATGTTTTTAAACATTTTAGCTTATTGTAGTTGCCCATGCACGCATCGTGTATTCTTAGGTATATACATATCCTACATATAGGAACTGAATTAAAATTTCTTCTATGTATGTTTCTAAACTTTCTTTTGGTACCTGCAACAGCCCATTTAGTCACATAATATTTTAGATTTAACCTATATATACGGCCTCAGTTAAGCTATTTTGATGCTTTAGTAATGGAAATGCCGTTTTTGTTCCAACAATAGGACATCTAGGTTCTTTGGTTAATTAGCCTTTGTGGTTATTTTGTGGTCCATAATTTTTACACCATTCATTGCTCTTTTTATAGTGATGCCACTTCACACTTCATGGAAAGGATTAGTGGATACAATTCATCCTCAGACAGATAGCTCAAGCGCCTATGAAGGAGCCGCTTCTCACGCCCTTAGGTGCCTGCAGGCTATATACGGTTTTGCCATACTAGATTATATAGCTTTCAGGGATTTGTTTTGTATAGATAGCTTGCACAACACATTTTTCCGCTTGCTGCCAGATAAAATCAATAGAGCAGATCTGAAAAGCTGGTTTTACCAGCAAAATTAAGACATCCATGAAACCAAAGCAAATAGTTGCGCCTTTATGCAGATCGATTCAATATACTAAAACTGAAAATTTAAATTTTGTAGTGAAACATATACATCGTTATGTGCAATGATATTGAGTTACCCCTGTCCTTTTCCCACTACTTTATTCTCAGCTGCATGACCCTTTTGTTTTTTCCCATGTCAGTACAAAGAACATGGTATTCGTTCCTTTAATCATAGCCTTCCAATGCATCTTATTGGTCCATAAAGTCTCTGGATCTATTTCAAAAATACAGGACAAAGAAAGCGACGAAGAGAACACAGACAAAACTAACGAAACGGATAAAAAGGCGGCTCCTTCAGCATCAAAGAACTAGGCAAGGAGGTAATTTCCTGCAACCTTAAAATACATGGTTACATGCTATAATGCGTGGGAGAATATAGCACAAACCATTGGTCTTGCTAACAGACCTCAACATGCATTACATAAAGCACACTAACAGGAACACAAAAGCCAGGTTTGGTTTCCTACAAGAGATGCATGTATGATTTACAGGGCCACAACGGAAGACCACATGCGGAAAGAAAAGGGCAACAGCAGCGCAGGTTCATCTCACAAACAGCGGAGGTAGCTACCGCACGCTCATACTACCTATCTATTCAGCAGTTGTGATTCCATTTTCTCTGACCTTATAATACATTGCCCAACCACTGATGTATTTATTTCTATCTATCTCCCTTCACTTTCTTGGAAATCCACTGTGAAAGAGCTTGTGCTGAACCACTGATTCTAGGAAGGCAAGTGATAGAGTTTATGGTTGATTCTAGGGAGCAAGAGCTTTTTCTGACTACAAAGGTGCTTTGTGCCCACCTGCTAAACTTTATGTTTAGATTTAGCCTTAATGGTTATAGGCCACATTATTTGCCATTCTGATAAATTAAAATTCAACTTTGTTGATTGCTATTTCCTTTGGTCAGTTCGCATGCTTCGTAGAATTTCTTTGGCTGGTTGCTGAAAAACCTATAATTCTAGATAAAAATAATTATTGTTGTATCACTACTCACTAACTTTTGTATTTTGGGGCTAAAGCAGAATCGAGTTTCAACTTTTACAAACAAGATGGTGGTGGAGGGTTTCCCAGCAGCAGAGTAAAAATCTAGAAACGAAATGTGTGTTCTTCTCTCATCATTCCATTAACTGCGTTTAGATTCTGGTTCTAAAATTAATTCGGGCCTACTTATCTGAAGATTTTAGATCATTTTAGGTAAAGCCTGTTTGAAAAGTTGCTTATAAGTAGCAGACGACGACTGGTGTTTTTATGCAGAGCTTTTTGTGTTGCACGTTGACCTTATCAGCTCATTATTTATCGACCGGATTAGTTTAGTTCAACGTTCACAATATAATCTAATTTTTTATACTTGATTCCTCTCGTACCGTGAAGAAAGTCATTCTGTCTGATGGTATGGTCATAACAGTGAAGGGTGGCAGACCTGTGAGCCTCCGGTTGCCGCTTGAACTACCGGGTTATTGCCTAATTTCATTGATTACTATCAGTTTCTGTGGCAACATGCTGCATTACTATGACAAGCTGCTGCATTGCCAATGAACCATATGTTGCTGCTTTTTTTGCTCCAAAAATATAGATGAAGGAATTTCATATTGGGCAGTTTGTCTTGTTACATGTTTTTGTTTTGTTAGTGATTCCCCTTCTCCATCCAAGTAGAACAATACTACTTATCTATTTTCACCTATAGATGGAAAATAGCAATTATAATTTGTTGTATTGTTACTTTTCTTAATTCTACAGGTTGTCCCTAATTCTATATCTTGTCATGGCATAGAGGGATGAACTCTCAAGTTTAGTTCAGGATCTACTGAATCCTACCTCGATATCACGACGTGTCCGCGTATGTTACATGTCTCACTTTACCAAAGTTCGTTGCTCTATCCAAAATAAATACAAATTCTCATGTCTTCTGTGTAGGTATATCTTTGTCCTTTCCGTACTACAATAGAAATTAATTGTAAGCTTCTTTCCTCATCTTTCAGTAATTTGCACCTTCTTGCTACCTATTGTTTTTCTTTATATGCTAGCTAATCTAACATAGAGTGGAACAACTATGACAGCCAACATTTATGATAAATTGTGGATGAGCTTCCAAATGTACATCCAAAACCACCGATGAAAATAAGTATTCATTTGTTTGGAGCAATGTTGCCTTGCCAATTAAATCGCAGTTAGTAGTGCAACATTTTTACATGCTATGCCAGCAATGAAATGTTCCTGCAATGTTTCTCTATTGTCTGCAAGTTGGCTTCCATTAGGGTGGTCACAATGCTGGATTCCAGAATGTTCAATTGGAACTATATATGCCATGCTTTGTCCTTATCACTCTACATTATTATGTATTTGGTTTCCGCACACTGTGTTTCACTGTTTAACATGGTGAAATTGTGTGGCCTTGTGGTAACTATATCTGCCATAGCGTGCTCTTTGTTGCTTGCCAGCCTATACTTTTGATGTCTCTGTCTTGTGCCCAGATGTGCTTATTACCAGCTTAGACCAGCGTGGTGTTCACATATTGTCCCTTAGTTTGCTCATAACCTTTCTTGTCCTGTGCTTAGACCAACCTGTACTTTTGAACCCAACTTATTGTTTCTGTATATACTTCTTTTCTAGATTCTTATTTAGCAGTTTTTGATATCCTTTTTCAAGGTGGCATGCCTACGGTTTCTTATGTCATACCTGTGATACATGATTCTTATTGGCTTAAATATTGACCTCGCTTCGATGCACCAAACTTGAAATTGACGAGAAACAGCCTCTGATACGAACTAAAGTACTGGAAAGGCAACGCGATCCCATATTTATATATATCGAGCCATGCATTAACATCAACTATGTTAGACTCATCAAGTATGTTTGGCTTGAACTAATGCTATATGCCTGTATAATATCCCTCCACCTTCATGATCTCCCGAATGAATTAGATATGCATCTTTCACAGTACCGCTATTTCCTTTTCCTTGCAAATTTATTCATATTAACCATCAAATTGAATCGCAAATTGTCCGACGTGTGCAAAGGCACGCGTAATGTACTTATCGTATGTATTACAATGCAAAGTATTTATCGTGTGTATTTTAAGATCTTGAAAAAATATGCGAACATGTTCAGAACCACGATTCTATTTCCGACTAACCACCGACGCGCGCGAGGGCGCGCGTGATGGACTAGTAGTCCATGATGGGCCACAATGATCTGTCCAGGTCCATATGAATAATTTGTCTCTGAATTAATGCTTTGATTCTCTTAATTTTTTCTTTTTCTGCTATAAATTTTCATTAGACCTTCGCTCCCTTTTCTTTTTCTTTTTTTTGAAAAAAGGGTGAACTTACAAACGAGATGGATCATGGACATGGATGCTGAAGGGGCTTAGAGCTCAGAAAAAGGACGTGTTATTCAGCAAACAAAATGAGCCGGGGAAGTACTCATTTGGCCCAGCATGTGGCCCAAGCGCACCGCTGTAGTACGGGTCAGGCCCAAGAAGATAAAAGCAAGAGTGAATTAACTCGGAAGGTATTTTGTCTATACTATACGAGGTAACGGTGGAAGCAATTTGCGGAGTTACAGAGACTGATGCCAAAGCTTGGCTAGCTGCGATATTCAAGATTCTCCCACAAGCGGATTCAGTTAGAGTCGCAGTGGTTCTGTGGGCTATTTGGTATGTCCGTCGGAAAGCAATTCACGACAATAGTACCAAAGCCCATTGTCGACCCACAGTTTTATTGACAGGTTCATAGCTGATCTTGGGCAAGAAAAGCCAAGGCCGGCGTCCCCTTCGTGTATACCCCCCAGGGCCTGGCGTGGATTGCTCCCCCTGCCGGGGTGGTTAAGATAAATGTTGATGCTGCACTCTCCAAGAACGACCTCAACAACCTGTTCGGGAGGCCGTATCGTATCGTGGATTATTTACTGCGAGCTAGTTTGGTGTGAGAGAAAAATACTGTTCCCGGCTGAAAATTTACGATCCTTTACGAGCAAGCGAACAGGCTGCAAAGCGTCGGCTGCGGCAATTGCTAGAGATGAGAATGGTCGTTTTCTCGGAGCGTCGGCTCTGGTGCTAAGGGGATATCAGATCCGGAGGTGATGGAGTCTATTGCCTGTAGGGAAGGTATGTCCCTCGCTCTGGATATTCAAGTGGCAAACTTCAGATTTGCGAGTGACAACCAAAACGTCGTGAAGAATATTCTTCAAGGCAGTCGGGGAGTCTACGGGCAAATTGTTCAAGAAATTAACACGAGAAGATCAGCCTTCGCTAGCGTTGAGTTCGTGCATGAGAAGGGGAACTCCAATGTTGATGCTCATACTATCGCTCGTAGTGCTATCTATGATGACTTAGGTCGGCATGTATGGCTGTTGAGTCCACTTATGGTGTTTGTAACTCCTACACGTCTTCTGATTAATAAAGATGTGTAGATTCTGCTCAGAAAAAACTAGCAGATTATTACTGTCGGTGCAGAAAATAATCAACACGTAAATATTTGTAGTTTTACCATACGTTATGATCGGATGTGGCCTAGCACTCAATGACACAGGGTTTATACTGGTTCGGGCAACGTGCCCTACGTCCAGTTTGAGTCGGTCGGTGACTCTATTCCTGAGCCCAGGTGTTCGAAGTTTGCTGTGGGGTTACAAACGGAAGGGAGAAAGATGGGGGTGCAAGAAATCCGGTCGGACTCTGGTCTGAAGGGCCGAGAGTGACGGGAGCTCCGCTATGTGCTAAGTGTTCGAGCGTGTGCTCGAAATTTGAACCTGATGGTTCTGTTGTTATGTGTTGAATCGATGTAAGTGGACTGATTCGAGCCCCTTGTTGGGAGAGAGCGCATCATTTTTTATAGATGAAGGGAATGGCTTTACAAGTGAGAGAGGGAGAGTGTACGTATGCTAAGTCTTGTTGCCCACGCCGTTGGGTACGAGATGATTGTAGGCGCCCATAATACTGTTAATGTCAGATGCATGTGGGAGGGTGCGTCGTCTTCTTCTGGTATGGCAGACGTCGGTGTCTGCCATACTGTTGATGCCCATAGGCATGTAGGGGGTTTTACCATGTTTGCCTGGTATGGTAAATGCCGGCGCCCACAACACTGTTGATGCCCAGAGGCATGTGGGGGGAGCCTTACCGTGTTTGTCTGGTATGAGAGTTGATGGCGCCCACAACACTGTAGGAAAAATATCGGCGCCCACAGCACTGCTTGGGTTCTGACATGCCAGGAAGGTTGCAAGGTATTGTCCTACAGGTGTACAGGGTATGGTCCTCGGTATTACGGTTGACTTGAGTGCCCTGCCTTACTTTTTCTGTCCGTTTCCTGGTCCTCACCGAGCGAGCGTCCCCAGTCGGTTGGTCCCAGTCGGCTCTAATTACGCCAGTCGGAGAAGAGCTGTAAGCAGAGGTTCGGTGCATCCCCGGTCGGAGACATGGGTCGAAGTCGGAAGCGGTGTTTGCCCAGGCCTTCCGGTGGGAGAGGTCGTCCGGAGGCGGGCTGAAGTCGGAAGCGAGCGCCGTTCCTCTTGAGCGAGGCCTTCCGGTCGGAGAGGCAAGCCGGAGTCAAAAGCGGGCGCCGTTCCTCCTCGGCCAGGCCTTCCAGTCGGAGATTGAATCGCCCTTCTAGCCTATCGTTCAGGTATCCTGGGCCGGCCCAGGAGTTTGCGCGTTGCTCGCAACGTTGTCTGCTGGGCCGAGCCTTTGTTGGGAAGCCGGTCCACAAGGGACCCCGGGTTTATGAACCCAACAATTACTCTCTCCATATATACACTATATTTAGATACATAGTAAAAGCAATGCATCCAGAGACAGATCCAAGATAAATGCTTAGGGCGGAGGCTGAGTATATGGCATGTTCTTCCATGCCATCGCTCAGCTGGAAGGGATACGCCTGCCGTGGACCATGCCTCTGGTGGACATTTTTGCCCTTGGTCTCATTTATGTTAAACAACCCCAATCGATGAGGAATCGCACTAGCACCGTGAGCGCTACCCATACACGGCAGCTGGCCAGGCTTAATCTCACGCATCGCCACTGCCCACCTCCTGACGACCGTCGCAGCTACAAGCGAGTAGATACTTGTTCGGGCTACAGTCAGCCATCATGCAAGGGAGGCAGCAACACATGATAGTGGCACCGACGAGGATGTAGAATCAGAGGCACCTCTGTTCTTTCTTCCCCCCACCAAAAAAATATCAAAGCAATGACAACGACATCGGCGAGGATGTAGAGTCACAGGAGTTCCCAGCATCGCTGTCAGCGCCCGCATCCCTCCCAACGGTGGCAAAGGGGGAAAGCGGGGGTAGTGGCACGGAGGGGCGAACCAGAACAGGTGGCGGGAGCGAGGCTGAGATAGAGAGCAATAATGCATAGTGGGGCGCTAGGGCGGGGGCGGCGCAGAGTGGTGAGCAAGGGCGGGAGCGGGAGTGGTGGCACGTAGTGGGGAGCCATGGCGGTGGCGGCACGTAGTCGAAGAGAGAGAAAGGTGGAGTCTTGAGGAGAGTAAGACGAGCACATGAACATCATGATTCACTAGCCTTTCACCGATAGCAGAAATAAATAATTTAATAGCTGCGGTGTTCAGCAGCAAAAGATATTTCGTAATGATACCGAATAAATTTTAGAGTTAGCTACGTGCATCAATAAATACCATATATGAATGGTGTCCCTTAGACAAATTTGCTAGTTTTAAACATGTCTTGAATTACCCGGGGTTAAGTGGCTGTAAACTTGGGAGCATTGCTACGTCCACTCAGTTGTTTCCACCGATCTACGAGTTCCCCCGGAAACCCCAGTCCACCATCCTCTACCCACCCGATGGATCCGTCCGCCGCCGGCGCCTCGCGGCGGAAGGCGGAGCAGTGGTTGAACGTGGCTGAGAAGCTCCTGGTGGCGCGCGACCTTGAAGGGTGCAAGCAGTTCGCCTCGCAGGCCCTGGCCGCCGATCCCCACACCCCGGGCGCCGACGACCTCCACGCCGCCGCCGCCTCCCTCTTGGCAGCCCAGCGGCGCCGCCTCCCCAACGGTCAGCCTGATCCCTACGGCGTCCTTGGTCTGGATCCCGCAAACCCCGCATCACGCCGACCGGATGCCATCCACTCACAATACCGCCGCCTCTCTTTCCTCCTCAATCGCTCCCACCCCGACCGCCCCTCCTCGTTCGCCTTCGCCGAAGCCGCACGCCTCGTCGCTGATGCCTGGGCTTTCCTCTCTGATCCCGTTCATAAATCCGCCCTCGACGCGGACCTCGATGCCGCCGCCGCAGCTCGCGCGTACCACTCTCCCCCAAATCTACCGCAGCCGCACTCGCAGTCACCTCTGCCTGCACGGCTAACTCCGCCGGTGGCTGCTCCCTCTCCACGCCAAACTCCACTGCCTGCTGCTCCCTCCCCGCGGTCGACTCCGCCGCTGGTTTCTCCCCCTCCGCGGGCAACATCACCGCCGGTTGCTTCCCCTGCACGGCAAACTCAGCGGCCGGTTGCTCCCCAAACACGGCCAACACCGCCGCCGGCTGCTTCTGCTCCACGGTCTACTCCACCACCACCGGTTGCTCCTCAAACACGGCCAACACCGCCGCCGGCTGCTCCCGCTCCACGGCCTACTCCACCACCACCTGTTGTTCCCCAAACACGGTCAAGTACGCTGCAGCCGAGTACTCCCCAAACGCCGGTGGCCGCAACTGTCCCAGCAGTGAAGTCTGGTGCTGCACCTTCATCAACGTTCTGGACAGTGTGCTCGGCCTGCTGCCACATTCACCAGTTCGACTGCCAATATGAGACGCGCAAGTTGCTGTGCCCTAGCTGCCGCCAGCCATTTGTGGCCAAGGCAATGGCTGAGCCACCGCCTATTGTGTCAGGCACCGACATGTATTACTGCACTTGGGGGTTCTTCCCCGTTGGGTTCCCTGGGTGTCCTGGCTTTGAAAGAATGGTCAATGCACAGCCATCAGGACTAGATCAGCTGAAAGCGCCATGGCTTGGAAGCACAGGTGGTGTGAAAGGTAATGCTCAGAATGGGGTGCCACCAGTTAGTGCCCCAGTAGTAGAGGTACCAGTCGAGGTTCCGGTAGAGGTGCCGGCAGTGACACCGCCGGCGAAGCCGATGCGAGTGAAGGTGGGTGCGAAGAAGCGTGGTCGCCCCAAGGGTAGCAAGAACAAGAAGAAATTATGAATGCTAATGATGAACATGATGGTTATCATCATAGATCAGATGGATTAACTGAGATATGCATTCAATCATACTTCCATTGTAGTCAACTGAAGCACTCGTCTGCAGGTTGAAGTCTCACTTGCTGTTGCCAGGATCTCTAATGTGGAGCAAGCAATTTTATTGTTGAAAGACTTATTTTTCAATTGAAGAATTCTTTCTTTTCCAGATTATAATGTTAATCTCTGGTTTGTCCCCACCGCCTTACTTGCCATATGCTTTAGCTGTAGCTATTGTATTTGCATATTTGTCTAGTTTCACTGCTGCCCTGAAGACAGTTGTATTGATCTAAAATGATAAGGTGTCTAGATACTGTTTATTGTACATTTGAGTTTGGTGCTACCGTAAGATCTGCGCTGTGTAGGAATGCTGCAATAAATGGAATGATTTAAAGCTCTGTTTTTAATGCGAATTCTGCTTATGACACTTTTCAGTACCAGAATTTTGCACTTTGGCTGTCCTTATCGCAATGTCGTGTGATCAAAATCTATTTTTTCCTTTTTTTAAGTTTTGCAGTTATTAATTTCACTCATCGTGATACTTGTTCTGCTCCTGTTTATTAGTTTACGTGTTCAAGAAAATCCTAGCGAACTGTTATAAAAGACTAAATGTGCTCGCTCTTATCATGATTGTATCTTCTCCGTTGAACCTTTTTTTCCCTTTCTTTTTGCTTTGTAGATAGGCTGTTCTGAATCAAGTATCTCTGCAGATCATTCATGCTTTCTTCTTTAATATTTAGTTTCTTTGTTAAATTGTTTGTGCAAGGTTGGCCTTTCCATTTTGTTTGAATATAAGTCACTTTTCATTTCTATTCTGAATTCTTGTGGATCAACTAGTGATACAAATTATTTAGAGATATGTGAGTGACATGATATGTGGAGGCTGGAGGCCTGTGTAGTATTCAGATTGTGAGTGACATGATCTGCCTGCAATTACTTGGAGTGAAGTAATGATGTCGATTACTGGGTTTTTGTGGGTAAGAAATGTTGCCCAACTTGTGGTCCAAAGAATGAAGGAAATACTGCACCTGCATGCTCAAACATATAGCAGGTGCTGTATCTAATAGTCAGCCGATGGCGAGTTGGTGGGGAAGTAGGGAACGGAGTTACAGATCTACAAGTGCCCCTGTGCTATGGAAGATGAAGAACAATGAGCGAGGGTAAGTTCTAGCTGACGAATGCCCATAGCTACTCGGATGCTATAGTGCTTGTATTTCCCCTTTGATAGTGGCTATAGTGCTTGTATTGAAGCGGTGCAGGAACAGAGTCAGGTCATTGCAGTTTTATGCCTGCTTGAATTCACTGATTCTACTGTAACAAGTGTGTTGTCAACAGTGCTCACTTCCGTGTTTCAGTGCGGTTCATGATATTTGTGCTTATTTATTAAGGAAATAATAAGGCGAACCATAGGATTGGTTGGCGTGGCTAGTGGATGTCAAATTATATTGCATGAATTGTTCAAAAGGGGTGTATGGATGCTCGCCGGAATTAAAGCAAATGGACTGAGGAACATGTGAGGTTGTATTAGATGTGAAAGAGCTTAGGGCCTCTAGAGGTTGGGCCTCATGTTAGATTTTCTCCAATATTCCTATGTATTGAGCAATTCTATAGGAATTTTCTAGTATTTTAAGATGACCAATCTTTTTTCTAAAGGACTGCGTAGGAAATATTACTATAGGTTTATGATCCTATAGAATTCCTTCATAAATCTTACATCCTATGTTCCAGTCGGGGCTTGAATGTTTGATTATATTGCAGTAGCATCACACGATGCATTTTCCTGGGCATTTGTCCATTGACCTCTTAATAATTCCTTGTACAGGAGGAATTGAGGATCCAAATCTATGAGCTTAACTGGTGGTCTTTCAGTTACTCTGTAAACCGTCACGGACTCACGGTAACTTGAATTCGTGGCGATAAACTTCATGCCGATTCGGCGGGCCAATTCGCACCCAAATTGCTCAGAATCAGGCACTCGTAGAACCGCTGCGAGATGCTCAGAACCTCCCACCACCAGCTGCGGGTTCATGTCCGAGGATCAATCGGCCGTCAGAGGCTGTGCTTTCCGACGACCGACGGACGCGATCGATGCCTGCAACCAACGACGACGTACTCCGTACTCGCGACCGCCCCGGTCTGTCGGCAAGCAATAGCAATGACGCGATGCCTCCTCCGGAGAGGACCCCTGCACTGCACGCCATTGACGGACGGCAGCAGGATTGCAGCGCTGCTGCACACCCCCTGTTGGCTACACTGCGTGCCAGCCCAAGACGGAGCAAAAGGGATTGAAGGGCAGGCGTCCGTGTCCCCCTCACGTACGTGCACGATGTCAGCTTCCTGCTGGTTGTCCGGGTCAGTCTCGAGATGCGCGTATGATGCCGCCCGACGATGCCCCCAACAAGGCCTCAAGGCCCGGACCCCGGCAAGACCGCCGGAGACGTGAGGCCACACTGTGCACATCATGATGTGGTTGCACCGGCAACGGCGTGGTGCGCTAGCAAACTTTCACCTCGCTTTTGTTACTCGGCCGCTCGCTTTCTGTAAACCTAAAGCGGGGGCGCTCGTTGTTGTTACAGTGCGTCGGGGCCATGGAGGACACGGTGAAAGCGAGTGGTCATCTCTTGTCGTCCACACCGCTTTTGTTGATCGTTTTGCCGGCCGGGGTGAAAAAGCTGGGCCTCGACATTTTACTGGATCTTGGGAAGCAACGAACGGCAAAAGCTCGAGGAATTTTGACCACTGTTGGCGATTTACGCGCAAGCAGTGCTCTTGGACGGGGCCCGTTCTCGTGCACCAGTACGTACTTTGCCTTCAGAACGCACGCAAGCCAGGCCCAGAACAGGGCTCATATGGGACAGCCGAAACAAATGAACTCGTAGCCGTAAGTTGGCAAATGTTAAGTGCCCTGTGCCGTACGAATGGATGGACAGACGGCAAATCACAAAGATACATCGCGCAGAAAATGCCACTTGCATTTGCATACTCCTAGGACTGATCGTGCAGCAAGTGTAAGTACACTGGTATGCTACGAGAACCGACTGACCGACATTCGTATCAGATGGTTCAACACGATCAGTTAAAAACAAAAGGAGCAACTGTCGCGGCGCAGCGCCGTGTCGGCCGACGCTTTTTTTTCACTGCGCTGCTTCCGGCAAACCACGCTTCAGATTCAGAGGCCCATGAGACGAAGCAGCGATCACGGCGGAAACTCGGACTGGTATACTATGGTTGATCACCCCCACACACGGGAGTTTAGTCGTTTGCTCCCCCCGGCGACAGACGTGAAGCCGCTGCAGTCGCCGCTGCCGGCCGATCGCCTTTCGTCTAGCGAGAAAAGTCGTCAAACCGACGGAGACCGCATGCGCCTTTTCTCCTCCCGACCCGACCGCGCCGCAGACCGATGCGCCAACACAGCCGCTGCCGCTGCCGTGTGCCGGCGCCTGCGCCGCGGCTCGCAGTCGTCGCAGCCAAGCCGTGTCGGCAGCCGCGGCGGGCCTCCCTTATTTAACAGCTCGATCCATCGATCGGCAGTCCGGCACCCGGAAACGAGAGCCAGACGTGTGAGCTAGAGCTAGCTTGTTGCCGGCCGTGTTCGCACGTACCCGAGCCATCGGCTTCCCGCCTGTTTTCCTTTCAAAAGAAGAGGAGTAAACCAGCTCAGGCTCAAGCAACACGATGGTGCCTGTCGGGAGTGACGAAGCAGCGGAGCTGGCGGTGGACGGGGAGTGCTCACCACCGGCAGCGACGACGCGGAGCGGGACGATCAGGAGCCACAGCGAGGCGGAGCGGAAGCGGCGGCAGCGCATCAACGCCCACCTCGCCACGCTCCGCACCCTCCTCCCTGCGGCGTCGCGGGTAAGACCGACGTCCTTGCTCTTTTCAGAGCTCACCGTGCATGTCAGTTCATCCAACGCACGCGGCATGCGCCGCGGGTAGCAAACACGGTTACGTACGTGTGCACGAATCATGCATGCAGATGGACAAGGCGGCGCTGCTCGGGGAGGTAGTGCGGCACGTGCGGGAGCTGCGGGGCGAGGCGGACGCTGCGGCGGCGAGCGCGGCCGTGGCCGTCCCGGGCGAAGGCGACGAGGTCGGCGTCGAGGAGGGCCAGCACTGCTTCTGCCGCGGCGGGGAGAGGGTCACCGCCAACACCAGGCGTGTCAGGGCGTGGGTGTGCTGCGCCGACCGCCCGGGGCTCATGTCCGAGCTGGGCCGCGCCGTGCGGTCCGTCAGCGCGAGGGCCGTGCGCGCCGAGATAGCCACCGTCGGCGGGAGGACGCGGAGCGTCCTGGAGCTGGATGTTGGCGGGCACCACGACGGCGAGGGCACGTCGACGTCGTCACGCCCGGCGCTGCAGGCGGCGCTCCGGGCCGTGCTGCTCGGGCGAGAGGAGATGCTCGGCGCTGAGTGCTACAAGAGGCAGCGCTTCTCGGCGCACCTCGCCAGGGTTTAGTAGGACAGTGGCACTGTACAAGTGAGTGACTGATGGGAGACAGAAGGGAAAGGGAAGGACTGTGTGCCATTTCTGCTACTACAGTGCTACTCGTACCTTTTTAGTTTGGAACATGTAGAATATCAGAGTTTCCACTGCCGACTCTTTCGAACGAACAACATCAAGCAAATTTGACGAGGCCGTATAATATTTGTATCTCACAGTTATAATGTTACAGCAAATGGTACACATGTTACAATAACAGGGTAACGCCAAATGTGGCGACAATTACATGCACTATGACTGATCCTGCAGCTTATTCGTATTTTCTCAATGTTCAACCGGAAAACAACACACAAATAGTTGGATAAAGTTCACTTTGCCCCCGGCAGTTCCACAGACTTTCACTCTGCTACCATATTGTTCATTGCGTTGCACCTCACTCCATTGTGGGTTTGTACCTCTACAGTGGAGAGTTCCGGTATCAAATAACTGCTATAATGCTGATGCACCTGCCCATGTTATGCAATACGACAACACACAGTTGAAGCTGACATGCTAGTGGCATAGTGTCATGCGTGGCAATGGACGATGCCAACAGCCTTGCAACAGTTATTTGATACAGGGACTCGCTTCTGCAGAACATCAATGCCACAATGGAGCAAGGTGCAATGGAAATGAACAACGCAGTGGCAAAGCAAAACCATGCTCAACTGCAGGGGACAGAGTGAAATTTACCCAAGTAAACAAGGCCTTCATTGGTCAAGACCAGGTGGACCTATTCTTTATAGCATACTTGCTTCCACCTTCCAACCCTTCACGGTACAATAACGTCCATTTCTCAAATGTGCAATCAACAAAGTTGTAGTAGCCTCCATGAAGATTCAAAGTACCTTCATTCACCCTCTTCTCTATCCATGGGTATGTTAACAAGTTCAACAGAGAGCTATTTATTGATTCCTGTAACAAAAAAGAAGAAATCGATACATGTCAGACATGTGAGTGGTTGCTCTTCACTGTGCTTAGTAATATCATACCATGACTACATAAACCTTGAACAAAAGAAACCAACATATTTGCCAAGATAAATTTGAATTGTATAACTACTATGAGACATCCAAATCTAATCCTAGTATTGATACAAACTACAAACAGGGAAGAACAATAGGATCAGCAGGCAAGATCTTGAGATGAATCGGAATTAGTAAAAGCCATGGAATTGATTGATCCTGTGCACTACATTGGGCAATTTTTTTTTTTAAATAAGGCTCGTGATCACACATCACCCAAGAATCACCTTTTCACAATGTTTGCACTGCATGTCAAAACTCAAATTTCCAGCTGCAGCTTTCGTGCTTAACCTTGCGCTCTTCCCAATTGAAACCCAGTTTTTAATGAAGCCTCTGTGTCAATAAAATAAATAAAAGAAGAAATTCAGAGACTAGTCTAAACAGACACCAAAAGAAGATGTAATGAAGAAATGGCTATATATAACTTTTACCCGGAGGTCGAATCATCTTTCATGCTCATTAGTGCCTGGATGCCCCCACACCTACTGTGGCCTACCACCAGTACATTTTCTACCTGAGCAAAAATGAAGGTAAATGTGTCAGTCTCAAGAATGCTTATGTTCCTTCAGCAAAAAGGGAGAAATAGGAGAAAAGAGACAAATCATTAATGAAACACACAATAAATTCATACCTGTAGTGTATTGACAGCAAACTCTAGTGCTGCACTAGTCTCTGACCCCCCATGCTGGTATTGCAACATTTTGTTTACTGTCAGTACTTCTACAAAGGAATTGCATTGCTTTAAGTGTTCAATCACAACGTAAAGATGCGCAAAATTGATAATACCTCATATGGTGGTACCAAATTTGCCACATTACGAACTGTAAATGCTTCCCCAGGCTGAAACCCCAAAACAGCGGTAGGGCAGACCCTGGAGTCAGCACAAGCAACCACCATGAACTGCACACAAGAACAGAAAACCAAAAGTAATCCCATAAGGCTCGTAATGCCAATATTAAAATGATTTGCTATCAAAGTCATTATCATGTACCTTTGGTGTTTGCTGCTGGGCAAGACTTTGGTAAGTTGAAAATTTTTCCCTGTCCATAGTTCCAGATATAGCAATGTCAACAAATAAAAAAGAATGACTGTGAAATATTAAGGTGAATGATATGTTTTGTACTTCATGATCCACTTACACATAGTTTCTGTGTTTGAAGTCCATGAATCTCGCTTTCAAATCCACGAATGGATCGTGTTCTGCACCTACCTCATCCATTGTATCATGTTGAAAATCCAGAAGTTGTCGGGTCAAGCCAGTGTGATCTCTGGCGGCCATTGTGACAGATAATAACTCTCTCCTGTAGAAGAAAATCTTATGAAATAATTTTAGGCCCAAATATATTAAGAACTGGGTGGACTGGAAACCAGGGTGATCTCTGGAGGATTGTTTTTCTGGTAGTAAGTTTATTCAGCATACAAGAAAATGGAAAATCCTGACTGGAAAAATCCATGTAAATTTATCTAATTTCTGGTAGTAAATTGGATGTCAACCCCCCCCAAAAAAAAAAAGAAAAAGAAAAGTGTTAGCATTTCTGCTTGGAGAATATCACCGCACTGTTGTTCTAATTCACCATTCACCAACTATCCCAGGACACCAGCAGAAAACCATTAACTAGCTGATAATATTAAATATATAGTTATGTGAAAGAGATGTTTTAGGATAGGCTTTAAATTGGAACCGATCGTGAGTACAGTGTTAATAACAACAACAAAAATCAAGTTCAGCTGTACCAAGCACCAACTTAACGATCACTTACAATATGTCAATCCACACAGGGGAAAACAAATATATCCATCTAACAATAGCGTTTCCATCCGACAACAGTGTACTGCAGGCTACTGCAAATCCAAATCCAAATCCAAATCGTAAGAAAGTGGAACGTTGATCTAAATTACAGAACCAACTAGTTGACTAAGCTAAACGCACCCCAGACATACAATTTCCCAATTCGCGGATCTCATTTCTTGCGCAGCACAATTCACCAAGCTAAGCTACAGACTACAGCCACCGAGGAGGCTAGCTTAGCCCATAGAAACGTACATCAAGCAAACCGACCAAGCTACAGGCAATTGGAGTTCCACCCAAAAGTTCAGATAACAGATTAGATAAGGATTCAAGTGGAGGTTGCGCCGATAACGATGGAATGAATGGAAGCACGAAGACACACAGGTTGCGTGACCTGATCGCTCATCGAAACTTAAAAGCAGCAGAAACTATAGACGGGGTCGACTCGACTCACCGGTTAGATCCTCCCAGCCGCAGAGCAGCACCGCGCTGTGTCCTGGAATCACCGATCTGCGGGCACCAGAAGAAAACCCAGAGATCAACGAAAAAGGAATCCCAGCGAATCGGAAACCCCAGGAAATGGGGAAAGCGAGCGGGGAGCAGCTCACCATCACCGCGCCGTGGCCCCGGCCGGAGCCGTCGGCGGCTGGCTCGGCGGCGGGCGGGAGACATAGGGAGGCGGAGCGGTGGAGGACGCCGCTAGCCATGTGAGCACGGGGTGGGCGTCGTGGTGTCCGGGTCTGTGGCATTCAAGGACGGGGAGCTTGGCGCGGCAATGGCCGCTGCCCGGGGTTTTTAGGGGAGGTGGGGAGCGCGGACAGACAGGAAGGCGGAGGAGACGACGGCGATGATGGGGGCGGAGGAAACGAGGTCGAGGCGGTGCTTTTTTAACTAAATAAATAATTATTTTCGGTAAAGTAATTAATTAACGTGATTGAACTGCCCAATTGTCTGGGGCTGAAATTTCAATGGTTCAGTGTGGGCCCTAGGAGCGACCGACGGACCGCGCGGGACGTGCGGATGTAGCGTTTCCGCCGTCGGATTGGAGGTGCGGTGGAAGGATCTTGACCGTCGAATTCCCTAGTTATTGGAGCGGTTGCGGTGGGACCACAGGACCTTAATTGGGTCCGCAATAATCAATGGCCTACCCGTCACGGTAGAGTGATTGGATTTGCTTGTGCCCATACCCATACCCATACGCATGTGTCGTTTTACGATTGATTAGAAGAAGAGTGCGGCCACCATGACCCGCCATTGAACAATGAGCATATCGACGATGCTCTTGCACGCGAAAACGAAGATGATTGCAGTGGCGAGAAAAAAAACAAGAAACAAGGGTATTCATTTGTGTTTGAAAACACACACGGGGTATTCGCATGAGCAGAAGTGTTCGAATGCAAGCTTTTACTATCTACTATCCATGCTCACCGATGCACTCCACGGCGAGGATGCAGCCGCCGCTCATCGGTGTGCTCCGGCCTGTGGGGCGGCGGCGGGAGAAGCTCATCATCCTCCCGAGTGGCCGCCGCGTGCTCCTCGCTGCCGCCGTCTGAGGACGGGTACAGCCGCCGCGCCGCGGAAGCTGAGGACGCGCGCGTGGAAGCAGCAGCGGCGAGCCGAAGCAGTGCCGTGCGCTGCATGACCTGGAAATGGGAAAAGCACAGGCGACGACTGTGGTGGATTCTGAACGGGCACGTGTGCTCCCCTCCCAACTTCCATGGCAGCGCCGCTTGCGATTGGCTCTATAGAGAAGAGAAGACAACCGCTCCGGATATGACACGGACAATGAGTGGCATGCCTATCTCCATCACCTGCTGCAGTACACACTTCGATTCCGGCACGGAACTGAGCCCGGAAACAGGGGCCGCACAAAAAAACCACCGGAAAGACGTCCGCGTCCGCGGCAACCTTGACGTGCGGACTCATGCGCGCTCGCTCTAGCCGTCTAGCGCGCTCGGGCTTATCCCCGGTTGGCCGGTTCCCTGCAGGCTGCGGCAGAATTCGGTAGGGGTCGTCGGCGTCCACTTGATCTGGACCCCTACAGAAGTACAGATGGATCGGGGGCGGTTCTGCGGCTGAGGATCTGGCCACGTGACTGCGAGAGCGGGGGATCCAGAGGGTGGCAGAGTCCGGACGACGGGACGAAGCTGCCAGTGCAGATGAACAGGCCCGGTTCTTATACTAATACTTTACTGAAATAGTATGAGAGAAAAATAATGTTCGTTCGCTAAAGAGTACTCTCTCCGTCCTATTGAAAGTGTTGTTTTTATCTTTTAGACCTCTTGTTTGACCGCTCGTCTTATTCAAATTTTTTGTATAAATATTATTTATTTTGTTATGACTTATTTTATTATTAGAGATACTTTAATAATGATTTATTTATTTTATTATTTACATAAAAAATTTGAATAAGATAAACAGTCAAATGATAAGTCTAAAAGTAAAAAACGACATTTTTAATGTGACCGTAGGAGTACTTTTGAAGCAGTGCTGAAATGAGCTGACTCCAACGAAGAGACCCAAATACGATACCCATTTCGCTGTTATAGGTCGTCTACAGTAAAAAAACGTCACGACCTACATATCTCCGCTCCAACAGACAGGCAGACCCAAATCCACGCGGCGCCGCCAGAGAGCGCCGCTTGAAAGCACCCGTCAACCCATGGGCGCTGGCCGCCCCCGACGCCGGCAGATTCAAGCGCCCAGAGGCTGGCGAGGATCGGGCCTCCTCCGGCCGAGCTCACGCCCACGCCGTATCCCCCCCCTCCTCTCCTTCTTCTTCCCCAACTGAACTCGCGCCGACGGAGTTTCGCCCGTGAGCTTGCGTCCGGCGGAGCTTCGCGCTCATGGCCCGGCCGAAGCTTCAGCGCCATGGTGGAAGTCAGCGTCCGCGCCCGGATCCGCCCCCCCTCCTCTCTTCTTCTTCCCGACGGAGTCTCGCGCCGACGGAGCTTCGCCCGGCGGAGTTTCGCGTTCAGCGTTCCGTATGAAGGCCTGGCGAAGCGCCAATGACCCACTCTCCGCTTCACGCGACGCCGCTCATCACCGGCGGGGGGGAGCTGGTCTAGATCTCGCAAAGCGCCAATGGCGGCGGCTCTCTCCGCACCTGGCGGCGCAGATCCCTCTGCGGCGGCGGACATGGCGATGGTCTTTGCGGTAGCGCCTCTCTCATCTCGCGCCTGCGAAGCGGGCAAGGCACACCGGCCATGGTGGCCCTCCCCAGATCCAGGTCGGCGGTGGGGGCGCGGCGCGGATCTGGGACGGCGATGCGGAGCCCCCCTCGATGCTGGCCGCGGCGAGGCGGAGCTGCCGCGAGGCCGCCGTGTTGAGCTCCGGTCGTCCCCTTCCTCATGGTGCTCGTGGTGGTGGGCCTGGCGGAGACGCAAAGACGCGGAGGGAGGACGCTTTTTTGCCTTCCGTGTCGCCTCCGACGCAAAATGCGTGCTGTGTTTGCCTACTCCGTTGGAGCTTGTTTTTCACGGTCAAAACACTGTGCACGACGCAATTTTGGGGATGGGTCCCGTTATTGGAGACAGTCTTACTGTTCGCGCGCCCCAGAAACTGGGAGGAGCCGCCACCCACGCTTCCAACGGAAGGTCTAGTGGACCGTGGTAGTGTGCTACTGCGGGCTGTGGCAGCAGCTAGGTCAGGTGCTGGGCCTTCCCCGAAACCGAACGATCGGGCTAACTGTTGCGGGGATTGATTTGTGTTTGGAAAGTGACTCGGCCTGGTCCAATAGGAGGAAGCTGTACGTGCCGGGTTGCCACTGGATTTAGCTGCGGTGTGGACTGTGGACGTTTGAGATGGCCCAGCGTAACGTCCGCCGGCTGGTGATTCGTGAATGGCCTTTTTGCATCGTGCTTTGCAGTGGTTTGCCGTTAGTCTTTTTTTTACATTTTTTACCACAATCTTTTTTTTACATTGTTTCCCGTTAGTCTTGTAATGCTTTAAGAGCTTGTCCATAACGAAAACAAGTTCTCGCTCTCCAAACTAAATCAACTTTTAAAGCTATTTAAGTTTAACTAAATTTATAAAGAACAACATCAAAATTTATTATATTAAATTTGTATCACCGGATACATCATAAAATATATTTATCAGTGTTCTAATTAGTTTTCTATATCTTTTCATAAGAATCATTTTCTATATCTTTTCACTCTCAATAATTTTTCTATATCTCATGCGCACCATAGAGAGTCATTCACGTTTTATATCTTTGGCTAGCGAGAAATCTAGGCGAGTGTTTCTTTGGTTGGGCGGCCAACAAGAGACACGTAAAATACTGTTCACATGCATAGTGATTTCAGCATGTAATAAAGATTTTTCCTCACAAAGAATCAGTAGGAACAGTATTTTGATTTATTTTTCAGTCCTGCCGAACAGCCCCTAGAATAGAAGATGTCAATATTTGGATAACTAAGTAAAGAAGCTATTGGAGGATATTTTTTCATCAAAATTTCTATACCTAGTAATACGAAGTATATGGAGAGTCTATTAAAGTTGCTCTTAGTACCATCCTAATAGGAGAAGTCAGGCCAGGCTCAGGCCTAGGTGGGCCACTGATTTTTTATAGTTGAAAAAATAATTAATTGGCTGACCCAGGCCGGCAGATTTTTTTTTAGGAATTCTGGCAGAAAATTTCAGAAGCTTGCTTCTCACTGTCCAAGTCTGTCTAGTTACGTGTATGGACCGGGCAGGCTGGACCTCCCATCATATATTCCTGTATTCTTTGATCTCTTGATACAAAAGGTGAAACTCTAGAACATCTTTTCACTCGCTACCCTTTTTCTAAGCAATGTTTGGGTGTTATATATTGCCCAGCAAGTTCTACCGGCTCTTCAGCCTAGTTTTAGAAACCAAATCTCAATCATTTTTCATGGAAGTCATTGTTCTCATGGCATGAGTATCTGGACAGCAAGGAAGAGCGGGTTTCATCTTAAAAAAAAACTGTTACGGTTGAGGGATGTAAAAATAACTTCAAATCATGAGATGTGCATTTAAAAAAGGTTTTGTTTAGAGAAGTCATTGGTTACGCAATTAGGTTCAGTTATAGCGTGAGGACACGAGAGATTGCATCTTCAAGTCTGCCGAACCTTGGAAACTGAGAGACAGCTGCTGTGTGTAAGTTTTTTGAATTTACAATACAGATAGCTAAACAGACAGCCTGTACAACCCACACACAATGTCTGTTTGGCTGTCTAGAATCGTTTAATGCTTGTATGTAGTCATGATCAATCATGAATATCATTTCTATATACCATCGTGTTGCTAATTGAAGCAAAACAAATACTTCAAAGTATATCATATATTATATATATAATGTAATATAATATATTTCATAAATCAAATATAACATACGATCTTCTTCCTAAAAAACAAATATGATTATAACATTTATGTCTAATTTTGTTTGTTTCCTTAGCGTTGCCATATGTGCTCAACAAGATCATTTCTAAGTTGTCTATATGATGGCCGTGCTTGGATAGTGGAATTCCTTCTAAGCACCTCCATGAAGCTTGGATTGGGGGTTATCACTTGTATGCACTTCAGGCAGGCGCAAGACTGATAGCAAAAATACTACACATAAAATATAAGTAGAAATAATACCACCTCCTGATTGACTGAACACATTCAATGATCACGACTGAACGCATTCAGCTATCAATTCTATTGAACTCAAAACATTCAGTAGCTAAGAAAAAATCAGTGATCAATGATTGTACACATTCAGTTATCAATTCTATTGAACTGAACACACAGATCTTGCAGTTGCTATCCCAAAATATATTAGCACTATTAGTAACTGAAAAATAGTTTCACAATGCATGCCTAATTAGATACTTTCAGCAAAACAACAAGAAGCAACACATGTAAACATATGAATCGGTAAATTAGTAAATATTTTTGGAATTACCATGTAGGATCGCAACTGGATTGATTCCCAAACGGAGGGAAACTTGGACTGATGGAGCCACCACATCTGCCAAGTGAAGAGCCAAGTGCGCCAAATCCAACTGGGTAGCCTCGTCTGCCATGGATAGGTGAAGAATCGAAGCCATCTGCCATGGATTGAGGATGGATTGAATCTGCAGAGGGGTTGGGTGCTGGGGACGAGCTGCTTCCGTGACCGACGAATGCCGCTGTCGCACCGTTGCTGAGACCGAGGGTTGGGTGCTGGGGCCGAGCCACTTCCGCGGGGAACTCTACTCGCAATCGCACTCGCCGTCATCACCGTCATCGTCGTCGTCATCGCCGCTGCCGCCATCGCCTTGTTCTTCGAAGGCACAGCGGCCTTCCTCTTCGAAACCAATGCCATCTTGCTAGACATCGCCAGAGAGGGAAGGGGTGGCTCCCAGCAAAGGAGCGCAAAGGGCGGCGGAGACCGTCAAGGTGGAGAAAATGGCAAAGACGAAACATATATGGTGTGATATTTGACACGCAATCTTCATCTAGCGCGCGCAGTTGGATTCGTGGCCGCGCGGCATCGACCGGAGACGACGCTCCGTACAACGCGCGGCCAGCCGTTAACTTGAGCTTGAGCTACTTTTCAGCCATGGAAGAGTGTTTTTCTCTAACGACATTTCAGCCTAAGCATCAGCATATGCGAACAGGATGGAACTGGGGGGTGTTTTGCAAAATTTCCAGCCACGAGACGACGACCAGCACACCACACCGTTGTACGTGCCATGTACAACGGCGTCTCTTCCCCCGTCTCTACGTAGCTATTTTTCCAAAAAGCACCCTTGTTTGCCTTGGAGACGATGGCCCCGTCGTCTCGCGAGGCGACGGCAAGGGCCCGTGCTCCGAGGCCCAACCGCCCGCTCGAGCAGCGCTGTGTGACTCGTTGACGACGGACGCGGATCGCGCGCGGGCACATGCGGAATCCAGTATTGGCGTGCGAGGTCGAGCTCCGCCACGACTATATATGGCCAACGGGCCGGCACGGACCGATGATGCACGGCACGACAGGGCCCGGCGTGCCTCTGGGCCGTGCCTCCCTGGGCTTCGTGCCTCGCCGATGGCCCAGGCATGGCCTGCCGGGCTACTTTTCGTGCCGGGCCGGCCCGATGAGCCCGGCTTTTTTAGTAGGCCGTGCCGCCCCGAGGCCCACTAAGAGAGTGGGAAGGAGGCTGGAGAGAGCAGAAAGCGGTGCACTCAAGAATCGCGAGCCGCCTTGGCGGGCGCGTGGAGGAGGCGGAGGTGGCGGTGCTTGCGGTGTGATGCTGCTGGGCGTGGAGGAGGAGGTGGCCGGCCAGCCGGTAGCCACACTCTCACGCCACCACGCTCGATGCTGGCGCTATGTGTGGCTGCTGGTCGTGGAGGAGGCGCCGCTCAAGGGGTGGGTCGTGATTCGTGAAGGAGGAGGCCGGCCGCCGACGCGCGAAGTCGGAGGTCGCGCACGAGCTGCGACCGACGTCGGCGGAGGGAGTGACGGCGAGAGCCAAGAGCGGGTGCGGGAGAGGAAGTGCGGGCCACAAGCCGCGCCGCAAGATGAAAAGCGACGCGTGGGGAGGCCGGGAGGGTGACAGGATAGGGTTTTGGGGGAGTGGGAGTGTGGGCCTTTAGCAGGCCAAGGCCAGCAACGGGCTGACACCGGGCCTCCACTAAATTTCGGGCCGTGCCATGCCAGCCCACGGGCAGAGCAGCGGCCTAGGCACGGTCTGCTGCCTCGTTCCGGGCCAGCCCGGGCCTGCATGTCACCGGGCCGTGCCGTGCTCGTGTCAGGCTAAAAAAGCGGGCTTCGTGCCGTGCTGTCGGGGCTGCATGGCCAAGTATAGCCACGACGTGTGCTGCGCAGCGACCTCCACCCCGGCCGCCGCGAGCCGCGTTGAAGGTTGCGCCCGACGACCTCCGCCCCGGCCATCGCGAGCCG